GCTAGTATTTACAAATCATATAAATTAAAAACAAATTCAAATATACTAAGAATTCAGATAATTAGCAATAATTAGCAATAATATAGGTATTAGATAATTAAATAATAAACAAATAAAGTCGTAACATAGACGTTGGGCACTTAACGGCATGTTATTCGAGGCTGTTGAGGCGATACGTTAAATTAGAACATAACAGGTGGAAAATAACAGTAACGTGTTATGAAAAACTTTACATCATACGAATTTGGCACGTTGCTGTTAAAACTCGGCCTAACATGTACGTTACGGATAACGTAAACGTTCAATCATAGGACCCATTGCCGGTTATGTTGCAGTTGAAGCACATACTTTGATTACTATACGAGGCAAGAGAGAGGTCCGACACGCCCAACATAGGGCGCGGCCATTTTGAACCCTGTGACACAGTTTACAGCTAAAGAATCAGATCGCTCACTCTGCGTCGGCACTTTTGATCTCAATGTTTCAGTTTATACACTGTGCAACTCGGATAATACAATATAAGACAACCGCCTATAACAAAACAGCACTCTTCTGCGTATCCTGAATTTGTATCCCTGGAGTGGATGTTATTTTGGAACTTTCAACTGGTAAGACTGAGCTAACTGATTCTTTAGCAATAAACTGTGACTTCAAAAATAATATTCAATAACACCACATACTTTGATTTTCTTTACTATACGGCGCAAGAGAGAGGTCCGACACGCCCAACATAGGGCCCGGCCATTTTGAACCCTATGCAACAGTTTATAGCTAAAGAATCAGATCGCTCACTCTGCGTCGGCACTTTTGATCTCAATGTTCCAGTTTATACACTGCGCAACTCGAATAATACAATATATAACAACCGCCTATAATAAAACAGCTGTCTTCTGCGTATCCTAAATTTGTATCCCTGGAGTGGATCTTATTTTGAAACTTTCAACTGGTCCGAGTGAGCTAACTGATTCTTTAGCAATAATCTGTGACTCAAACAAGTATTACAAATTAAAAATTTAAAAAAACCGACTTCAAAAACGTGCAGATGCCATCACCATATCTTAAACAAATTTATATGGGACCACCCCTGAGGTACCCCCTTACTAACAAAAAAAGGATCGTATAAATCGGACAAGGTGGCAAAGCATTATCGCTAAACATACATAAAAAATGAAGAGTTTGAGGATTTTCTCATGGATCCAATTATTATATTTTGACCAAATTTATATGGGACCATCCCTAAAGTATCCCCTTTCTAACAAAAAAAGAATTATTGAAATCGGACACCGTGTTAAAAAATTATCGCTGAACATACATAAAAAAATGAAGAGTTTGAGGATTTTCTCATGGACCCAATTATTAGATTTTGACTAAATTTATATAGGACCACCCCTGAAATACCCCCTTTCTAACAAAAAAAGAATCATTAAAATCGGACACCGTGTTAAAGAATAATCGCTGAACATACATAAAAAAAAAATATCGCGACGAATTGATAACCTTCTCCTTTTTTGCTCTGGCAGCTGTTTCGAACTGCTTAAGGTAGTTCGTCCATGACATCTTTCCGTCGAAAGTTGGGGCTTTGACACGAGTAGAGTTTACAGCTCCTTCCAATTTTAACTTCGACTCCACCTCATGACACTTTATTTCACCGTTCTTGGTTTGGTCTACGAGTTCCATTTCTTCTTTTCCATCTGTTTTATTTTGTCTTCAACGGAAGACATTATTTTATTCTCAACGGAAGAAATCTTATCATCCATAGAAGAAATTTCGTTTTTCATAGAAGACATTTCGGAAGATACTTTTTCTTCTAAAGAAGAAATATTAGCCGAAAATTTATTTTCCATAGAAGACATTTTGTTTTCCAAGTCGAAAGAAATTTCATCTTTTAAAGAGGAGATATCAGAAGAAACTTTAGTTTCTAAAGAAGTGATTTCATTTTTCACGGAAGCAACATCAGAAGACACCTTTTCTTCTAAGGAAGAAATGTCTGAAGAAACTTTATTTTCCAATGAGGATATGTCTGAAGAAACTTTATTTTCCAATGAGGAAATATTAGAAGAAATATCAATTTTCATGGAAGAAATTATAGCAGATGCATCATCCGAAAATAAAAACGTTTCCGGATCCAAACCTTCATTTTCTAGTGCTTTTTTAAGTCGTTCTGCCAGCTCTGATTTCTTCCCTGCCGTCTCCAGTTCACGTTCTTCTAATTCTAGACGCAGTTCAGCAACTTTTAAGTCACACAGTTTTTTAGCCATGATTGTCCACTATTTATTTATAATTCCACTTCTAACACCAATGTGACGAAAGTCTAATTTATTTAAAGTTTATTTATTTAAAAACACACTATTTACAATTTATTTCAGACGTACTATTTAATTTATATAATATTTGAACACTAACTAACAATTCTAATTTATTTCTTACATTTTAACTATTCAATACAACGTTCTATATTAAACTAAAACTCCGCGCTGATCGTAGACTATTTATATAAATCCAACTCCGCTACTGGAGAATTCCAGAGCATCGCGAAGATTCTACGACGATGAGTAAACGGCACTCCGCCCGCTCTACCCGTTTCTCGAGCTTTCAGCGGCATTCCCAGAACATTCCGGATGCTTCGAGTGAATCAGAGAGCGGTCCGGCTGTTTCCACACGTCAGCGTTGCTTCGGCCACGAATTGCGTATACAGGGTCTGCTTAGGAATTCATGACATTACTCTAAAAAAAACTAATATTTACATCAAAATAATGTATTTAACATAAATATTAGTTTTTTTTCGTAATAAAACCCCAAAAAATATTTACATTAAAATAAAATATTTGAAACATATATTTCAATTATTTATTATACAGTAATACATACATACATACATACATACATTAAATAACAATTGTAAGTAAAATTAATAGTAGGTAGTCTCCCACATTCTTGCAAAAATGGACCATATTTTGTAGGCTGTCCGGTGTTTCCTATAAAAACAAAAAGTGTACATATGTCTTATTGAACAATTTCTCTTATCAAATATTAATAAAATACAACTTTTTCTCTTTATGACTTAAATTTCTAACTCTACTTTTATTTATTTATTGTTTTTCTTCTTTTCAAGGGTCGTTAAAATTGTTCATCACTAATTATTAAGTTTGCAACTAATTTCTTGTTTTTATTATGCTGCTATATTTGTGCTTCAGCCTCAACTTATTCTAAAATCTATTTCTCAGGTTGTATATTGGAACTGGATGCACAATTATCTAATGAAATTGGTACAGAATGTCCAACTAACTGTTTACGTTCTGATGAAACCCTACTTAAAGACTCAGGCAAAAATGGTCTGCACAAAGCGAGTATTATCTAAAGTTAAATTTAAAGTCTTAAACCAGTTCTGGCAAATTTTAATATCGGAAGGAAAATGAAAGTTTAATACTTAATTATCCAACTTTCTGAATTTTAGAATAATACTTATTTAAACAATTAGCAGCTGAACAAGAATACTCTTGAGAATACTTAACTATACCCGGGCCAGACATTTTCTGTTTCAAATATTAAAACAGAATAGAAACTCCATGAAATATGAAATTATATAAGGTTAAGGAAACAATGATAAACAAAGTCCTTAAATAAATCTACACCCCTTTAATATTAAATTAAATTGCTAATACTTACTAATTACATCAAATCAACACTGTTTATCTTCTTAAAAATAACTTGCCGATCTTCAGAACTTTCATCATAATTCATAAAATAAGTTTTATCATTTCATTATCATATTTGGCCTTCCACCATCACGGTTTTTCATTTTTTACGACGTTGTCAATTCCTTCTTTTAAAAATCCCAGCAATAGTATGGATGCTATGGTGCGCATGTAGATTGATAAAAAATTAAGGACGTGGATATAGTCCCGTACGTGGGATCCGAAAATTACATCTGAAATCCCGCACGGGCGGAGTTAAATCGCGCGTTTGCGCGGTTCGGTTCTACAAATTTCTATGGGAACTGAAAATTCGTATTAACCGATTTAAAAAAATGTAAATGCGGCAGTCGGTCGAGGTATTTAGATAGGTCCTATTATTAAACTCTTTACATTGCGGGTTAAGGGGGGTTGAAATTAAAAAAAAAAATCATGAACGAAACATGAAATTTTTAATCAAAATCAAGGTTTATAAGGGGATGAAGTCTATTGATTCTGAAAAAAAAAAAAAAAAAAAAAAAAATCTGAATAAAAATAGGACGACATTAAGGGAGGTTGAAATATTAAAAACAATCCTTATGTAAAAATCTGAAATTTTTAGGAAAAATCGAGCTCTGTATAAGGGTACGAAGTCTAGTCTATTGATTTTGAAAAAATCTGAATAGAAATGGGTGGGATAAGGGAATTTTAATAAAAAAAAAAAAAATGGAATTAAAAACGAGAAGAGATCAACATGAAATTTATAGTCAAAATCAATCTTTATAAGGGGATGAAACTGAAAAAATCTGAATAGGTATAAATGAGAGGGGGGGGGGGGGGGGGAGTTGAAACAAAAAAACAATATGAATTTGAAATCTTCGGGAGGAATCAATAACGACTATTGATTATGAAAAAAATCTGGTTAAATTAGGGGGTTAAGGGCGGGTCTGTTAAACTATGAATTACAAGATTATATATCTAAGTATAAGTAGGTACTTAGTATTTATCTGCAAATTGCATTAATAAATGAATGGGCGTTAATTACGACCACACTTCTAAAAGGGTATAAGAGGTAGGGAAGTCAAATTATTTAATAAAAGTCAACAATAATTTGAACGAAATTTAATGTAGGCAAATCTTTCTAAAGAAAAAATTATTATTATTAATTTGCAGTAGGTATAGGTAGTTTATTTTAATCTTGAAGGATTGTTACTTTGTCCGTTTCTTCTTTTTTGGTAAACCAATGGCCGTTAGTGATCTTCCTTTGGGCCTACCTCGACTTTTTATTGGTTCCTAAAAATATGATGTGATTAATATTCTATGTAATGTTCATAAAAGTAAACTGATGTTTTGACAGTCCTGTTGCACGACACTATTATTACTGTAAACATTATGTTCTGAAAATCTTTCGTTCAAATCCAAATTGTTGGAGTTTTGGGCATTTTCGGAATTAATTATTTGTACTTTTTCGAGATTTTGCCAACATCGTTGTAATTGAAGTAATATACTCATCCTTTCATTAAATTCTGATGTTGAAACTTCGCTACACATAGTGGATAAATTAAGACAAATACTTTGAGCCTTTTTAAATTTTTCATGCGAATTCAATATTTTCTTTTGGCGTGTATTTGAGGAATAACTTATTAATGTCGTAAGTTGCTCTAGTTCAGTCTCCGTTCTGGAATTCTGTAAAGAACCACTGTAGAAATATTTAATGTATTCTCTAGTCCATCTACTGTTAAAAATACTATCACAAAATAATTCATGTCCCAAGTATTTCCTATAATACAGTATATGTTTACATGGTAGATGCATTGAAATAAAAAAACTGCATTGACATGTGGTCTCTGAAATTACAAACATCTCATTCTTTGTTATACAACGTATAGTAATTAAATCATCGCTGTTAAATGTATAAGGAATACTAGTAGATAATTGAACTTCAACTAGATCCTTCGCGATATTTTTATATGCATAGTATGTTAGATGATTATAAAGAAAGATCCTTACTAGGTACTTTTAGCACCATTTTACTGTACTCGTTCTTTTGTTCAGTTCGTTTGATATTAACGAAAATAAATAATTTTTCTATGAACCCATCAAAGGTGCTGTAAGTTGAAATTACAGATTTCAGTTTGGAATTTAAGCTTTCCAGTCTATTATTGGTCAAGTTGAAAAAGTTTGTGGTATATTTTGTAAAACATTTTGCCCATTCATGTTTAATGTGTTCCCAATTTTTTGAAAAATATGTTATCACTGCTTGTGGTATGTTTTCCTTCATTTCGTTTAACGTAGCGTTATAATATGCTTCTGATTTCGAATGAGCAAGCTTATTTAAATATTGCAAGGAGCATTTTGATTGCTCAGTTGTTATGTTTAGCTTTGCTGGTGTTACCTCTCTTTGAAAAATTTGTAATGCGTGGAACAAGCATATTAGCTTTTTGGCATCAGGAAGTTCTGTACTAACAACATATCTTTCGGTAGCACTTTTGTCTGTCATAACAACCTTAATTTTATTCCATTGTGGATTTCTTTCTTTGAATCTATAAAATATAAGTGGTAAAACAACTAAACAATTTTAGGTTAAAAATCATAAACTTACTTTTTAAGAAACCAGCCAATAGATTCACTATCCTCTTTTGTAAGAATGCCGATTCCTACAATATCTGTTGACCCAAAGGAATTTTCAACTGCCATTATATATACAGGACAGCGAATATTTAACAACTTGTATGTTCCATTCATAAAAAAAAATTCAGGAAATAAGAAAAATGTCTTTTTCATGCCAGGATCTTGGAAAAATATGCTTTTGAATGTGTCTTCTTCAACATGTACATCAACTGTGCAGCTATGCTTTTCTTTCAGAAGGGATATGATTTCATGGAAGTTAAGTTTTGCTGGTGCTGGCGACTTACTGATATTTGACAAATCACGTAGCAATATTAAATTTCCTGTCTTTTCCAGTAACTCTGCTTGTAAGAGTTTTTTATTAACTTTTAATTTCATCATCGTCAAAGCTGTTTTTTTATATTCATCAGAGAGCTTTCTTTGTTTAGGTAGCTGTTTAAATACTTCCCTATAGAACAAATAAAATACTTGAAAAATGTACTTCTGGAATGTCATTTTCTACTCACATTGTTGGAATATCATGGTTGTGATCAGTGATCATACTTTTGATAACTAATGATTATCCATCTTCAGACAGAGCAATGTTTATTTGTGCTAGACAACCTTGCTTAAAAGTGCTGTAAAGAAAATATAGAATTTATTATTTTATACCTAATCTCTACCTATCTATGAAATAACTCACCTGTCACGTAGACGTCGTTTAGTAACAGACAACGGTTGTTTTGGTCGAAATGATTGTCCTCCATGAATGCAACAGTATTTTATAATATATTTTAATGCAGCCTTACCTTTGCTGTATAACTTTGGGCAGTGATTTTTAGCATTGTCCAAAGTTTTGCAATCTCGTTTCCAAAATTGTACCCTATTCTGTTTTTCATATAGTGTTATCGCTTTGTTTAACTCTTCATAGCTACTGAAGGCGTAATTTTCTTTTAAATCATATGTAGATCCCATTATCATTTCATTGATGATATTGATCAACAAAACAAATAATGTATGTAAGTAACAGGGTAATACAGCACACATTGATACAAAAAACAAACACAGAAGAGTGAAGACCACAGGTGAAGACCGCGCAAACGCGTGACGTGAATAAACTCCGCCCGTGCGGGACTTCAGATATAATTTTCGGGTCCCACGTACGGGACTATACAACGTGTTGACAGTGGCGTGCATTTAAAAAATTAATCTTGTTTTATTAATTTATCTATGCGATAACAGTTTTCAGGGGACATCTGCTTCCTTTCGCACCATCAGTTTATCGTAGGGTTTGTTGAAGGATGTTGGAGACCTCTTCGTTCTTCCCTCTAATTATGATAATCAGATCATCAAATCTTCCCCTTCCCGAGAAAGGTCGTCTAGCAGGTTATTCACTAGAATGGTAGACAGTACACCGCCTTGTGCACATCCTCTGGCAGGCCTGAAAGTAACTCTCTTTCTATGCAGTGATGAAATGATGTTCCGGTTTCCAAGCATTGTTTTGTCATTTCCTCTTTTTTCAATAAAAAAACCGAGACCGACGAAGGGCGTCATTGAAAGGGTCTTCTATGTCTAGGATGGAAACCCAGTAAAATCTCACCAATTTTGCCTACTAGATTATGCATGGCATAATCTGTTGATTTGCCTTTTTGGTAACATATTGGAAGGTGAGTTTAACGGGCTTACCCGAAGGCCTCTCTAGAATTATCTCTAATATCTTCAAAATGAAGGATGTTAGGCAGAATGGACAGTTTGGTAGGGAGGTATCTATTCTACCAGCCATGTGTATTCACAACTTTCGCCATCGTTCGCCCTAGTGGGATGTAGCTCCACGCCAAGCTTGCTCTAAACAGCCCCACGGAGAAGGGCAGTAAGGGTTTCTGTTCTTTTTACAGAAGGTCAGAAAATATGCCATTCTCTCCGGGTTATTTGAAAGGGGAGAATGCATTCATCGCCCTTTTCACGGCACTTGGAGAGACAACTTATGCAACGTAGTTCGAGTTCTCCTTCTTGGGGCGTATAGCCAATTCCCTAGAATTCGACTGCCTAGGAAGTACTTTTGTAAAAGTATATCTAACTTTTGCTTACCAGAGTCCCTATAGGTGTTTAAGACTTTTTATCGAGCCGATTTCCTATCTCGGATCTTTGGCAAGAAACTTGTGAAGCCTGGTGCTTGTAAGTAAATTATAAATAATATACTGACAGCATTTTCTCCGCGTATCCCGTTTGGCCTTGTCGTACTCCGTTAGGGACTTGCAGTATTGGTTCCAGTAGCATAATTCTTTAGCTCGGTTGAAGATATGGCAACTTCTTGTTTTGTCCAGATTTCTGCTCCACCATGGAGTTCCTCTTGGGTCCCCTCTCTCCTTTAGTAGGCAATTGTCCTGGTAGGCAGTCATAAGACATTTTGAATTTGATTATTCACCACTTCTCTTCGGTATTTATACTAACATCAGTTTTATGTTTAATATTTGTTTTTAAGATGAAGTAATGTGTCCAGACATAAGGAATTCAATTTGGTTGAGAGTTCTTCAAAGTAAACTATTTTCTACATTTTCGGAAAATATTGTTACTTAGCCTACCTTCCATTCCATAAATTTTATACATTTCTTGATTTTACTGGCATTAACTATCGCATACATTTTTCGCTTTTTCGGCGATTTCAGGTGGTTCATAAAAAATAATCTTTATTCAGATTTTTAATATTTCATAATCGAAGATCTAAACTAACAGAATGCAAATCTTTTAATAGCCATTTATGTAACCACTTATGAAATTCCTTATTTTATGTAACGAGTGAATCTTAGTTGGACGAGCAGAGCGCGATGACTAAAAAATTTTTTTATATTATTTGTTAAAAATAAATGAATAAATACAGTTTAAAAAAACTAAAAAAACACGCTTTTAGAACATATCAAACTAAAAAGTTAAAAATAATTTTTCAAATAAGCTTAATAATAAATGGAAAATACTAGTATTATTGTGAAAAAAGCGTCGGGCGATCGATGTACGAGAAATATGGACAGAGCGCCCCACGCTTTTTTCACAATAATACTAGTATTTTTCATTTATTGTTTTAAGCTTATTTAAAACATTATTTTTAACTTTTTAGTTTGATATGCTCTAAAAGCGTGTTTTTTTAGTTTTTTTAAACTATATTTATTTTTCACTTTTTAGTTCGATGTATTATAAAAGCGTGTTTTTTAGTTTTTTTTTTAAACTATATTTATTTTTTTACTTTTTAGTTCGATTAATTATTAAAAAAAAATTGTAAGTTGCAATTGCTGAAAAAAAAAACAATTATTTTTTTTTCTACCGTGGGGGTTTAGAATCTACGATCGGTGAGTCTGGCGATCCGAAGACCCGCGCCTTAGACCGCTCGGCCAACGAACGAACTTGAGGTAGTGGAATATTCTGACAGTAATAAGCCACTTGCTTTTAGTCCAAAGGAGAGTTACAAACATACATACATACATACATACAGGTGAAGCTATTAAAATCGTGTTAAAAAGACTTGTTCATATTATATAATTTTTATTCATTTATAAAATTCAAGAATGTCAATAGTATAAAAAGATATCACCTACTTAAATATTTAGCTTTAATAAATTTAACATGTATAAATATTTACATCAAAGTTTTGAATTTAATCAATTTGATCACAATAATCCCTATACAAAGGAATTTGAATTTTTGCTTAAATGATTTGTCATAATATTAAATACGAGGTAGGTGAAAAAAATATTTTTTCACTCAAAAAATATAGTAATTATTTTTCATATTAAACTAGTAAACTATATAAATTTATAGCTAGATGTAAACTTAACATAATGTTCAGGACAACCTACTTATTAATTCGTTTCAACTACTTTGAACTAAAAATAAAATATTCAAGATTTGGTTCAATAAAAAATCTTCATAAATTAATTACATAATTGCCATTCAATTATTTTTAATCTCAAAAATTGATAGGTATCTAGGTTACGTTTGTCTCTTTAGTATAAAAATATTTTAAACAACCAAATCTGTTAAAAATATTCCATTTGAAATCTTGTAGCAAATTAATACAAAAATGTTTTGTGTTCGAAGTTAAAAATTAATATTTAATTTTGAAAATGTCAAAAATATAAGTTTTACTCTTAAACCATAACGTATTTATTCAATTAAATAATTATCCATTCTGATGTTACGTGAAAATTGATGTTGATTTCAAATCGAAAAATACAGAGAGCATTCTCCAATCAAAAATACTTGAAAAAAAAAAAACAATTATGCACAGCTAGATAAAAAATGCAAGATGTTTAATATTTGCTTTTATTTTGCATTTTAAATATTATTTCTATATATTAGGGCATACTCTCAGGTATACTGTGTTAAAAAATATTTTTTAAACATTTATTAATCGTTTATGAAGTACATACTTAAATCAATTGGACGGATGAATTTATTCTATTTGATTTGATTTTTATACTTGTTTGACTGTTGTAAAGCAAAAAGAATTAATAATTTAATTTAAAAATCTAAATCAGTTTATTGTCGTTACTTTTTTATAAAAAAGACATGGTGCATTTTTCATAGCATTGCCACACTAAAGTTTATGCTTAATACTGTAATAATTATATGCCTTAATGATCGTTAAGGCATTTCAGAGTTTTAAACTAATTCTTCAAAACAAATATTATAAATAACAGTATAATATTTAAATAAATTAAGTTAACAAAAATATTTACAATATGTTATAATAAATGAATTATAAAAACGAGTTTTTAAATGAGACTTCTGTCACTTTGAACTATTAGACTAATTTTGTTTACAAAAATCGAATTACAAGTATTCAAGATTTGTTATCCACGTAGTTGCCAAATTATTATGGGAGAGTTTTGTTATGGTTATAATTCGGAATTGACTTAACATAAGGCTCTAAAACGCACAAAAAGATTTGAAAATTGCATTAAGGAAGAATATTTGCAATCTTAGTAGTAGTGACTATCTGTTAATGTACTTTTATAGTTGCAACTATTATTGGAGCTGAAGGTAATTTACAGGAAAGTACGCCATTTATTTACAGTGTAAAGCAGGAATTATAGCAGTACGATCTGGTTCATTCATAAAACGCGTGCTCGCATCTCAGATAAACAAGCTCGCACAAACCAACCCCTCTCAATTTAGCAGCCGTATCGCTTTTTCTAATGCAACAGCTCTGTCTGTATAATATAAAACACAACCTTAATAGTTGCAATAAATAAGGACTTAATTATGCTTGAATGGATTATTCTAGTAGTTTTTCGTCGCTGGTTGATCCTAAAGTGGCAGTGGGAAACAGTCACGTTTACACTGAACACGATAAGGGAGCACTTAGTCCTAAAACAGAAGAGAAGACTTTTGTCGATTTGACCTAGCCCCTATAACAATAAAATGGGTTTAAAAAGACGACATTTGCGATGAGGACTTTTCCATAATTTTAATATTCTTAAAAAATAACCAGACCGTCCAACACTATTAACAAAAATTGGTATGAAATTGTTGTCAACTCAAATATGGTTGAACTCATATTGAAGGGGATTCCAATAATGACACAAAATACATGGCGATGTATTTAAAAAACGAAAGTGAATAATAATATCAGAATAACGGTAAGTTTAGTAACGTTACAAATGTCAAATCTGGACTCTCCTGATTCAAAAATAGGCTTACCCCACATTTTGTACAATTTGCAGTACCCATTTTTTATTATTTTTAAACTGAAAATGTTTCTGTTTCCTGTTGTAAAAATTTTACTGAATACGATTAATGTAAAAAACCTCTATAGTAGTCTATAGCGTTGTTTCCAGTTGTTTTAAAGCTCCTAGATTTTAATTTATTCTTGTTATATCAAATTATAATACTATAACAGTAAAAATCAAAATTCAAAACATTCTCGTTATAGTTAAAAATTGATTGGTTATTTTTGTTTCTGATTTATTCTGATTGGATTGGAATAGTTTCTGAGAAAAAAATTGCCAAAAGTAGACGTTTTATTCTTACTAGATCTAGATTAAATATTTTTTTCTTCGAGAACCAAAAAATCTAATTTTATCATGTTGAAGTTTAATTGTTTTTGCAACAAAACGGTACTATTGTCTGCGGGTGATGCAATAAATATCATATTCGTAGGAAATGAATACCATTTCTTTTTATTTCTAGTGTTAAACAATATACTAGTCTACTTTATCAAAATCACTCTAAATGACAGTAAATGTTTTAGTGAGAAACTATATATACTCTTAATGTTTAACTGCGTCAGCTTTTAAAATATTATTATACAACTTTTTATTCAGAGGGTTTAGCTAATCAAGTAATTTCTAAAAGTACTCCCATAATCAGGAATTCAATAATTTTTCATAATCCTCTTTATAGTTATTGTTCTTTCAAAAATAATATGTATTTGGTACATTATTTTTTTGTCAAACGCTACAAAGTGACAGGAGCTCTCTCTGATCAAGATTTTTGACTCCAGTTTCAAATGAAATCATAATCTATAATACATGTGTTTCTTAAGATACCTCTTTTACTAATTAGGTAAAATAGAAAGACCTTCCGATGCCGAAGGCAAAACGACAGTACTCACGACGTTATCATTATCTTCTTCATTGGAAGCGGCAACTTGTAGATGTTGTGGTACTTGGATCTGAACAGGAATTTGAATTTGAGAATTGGGAACCTGAAATGAAATAGTAATATTATACAAGGTGTTTCATAAATACCCTGACTACTCTCTAGGGATAATATAGTAAATGCGCCAAAAAATAAATGTTCGTTTACTTAATAAACAAGTCCGAAAACGCATGTACTTTTTGAATGGGATTGAAAGTTGCCACTTTTTCAACGATATCTCAAATACTAAACCTATTTAAACCAAATTTTGAGAAATTGTTAACAGCAATGTTAATGCATTGTCAATGTCAAAAAATACTGCTCTGAACGATATTTTAAAAAATTGTTCTTAAAAATAGGTTCAGGTAGGTGCAGCGTAAGGTAACTAATGTTGAAAAGTCTATAATAATTATACTCTTCACACAATAGTCTGTGAAGAGTATTATAGGTTTACTTTCAAAAACTCAAATTTTTAATAAATATCCAAATATAAAAATTTTTGTATCACAATCCTTGTAATCAAATTTTAAACAACTTTAAAAAAAGGTAAATCAAACGAGGGTGGTCCTTAGGATCTCACAAGAGTATTTTATTACGACCGGTTTCGAGGATCAAATCCTCATCATCAGGTAAGGTCTAAAAATAGAGAGGAAAAACGAATGAGCTCATAACTAATAAGTGGGTTTAAACATTTTAATATGAAAGTTGTCAAATATCAAGAACTCACCCGTAATTACTCATCTATTTAAGACTAAGCTAATAGAATTATCCCAGGGTCGGTGTAAAAACAAGTATGCGAGTATTTTTTAAAATACATAAAAAATATAAAAAAACAATAGTTGCAACAAAAAGTTGATGTCAAAACACATAAACAAAAGTAGGTCTAAAACTATTAATTAAAATTATTAAAATATTTCACGAACGGACGAACAATTAAGACAAACAAATTTAAAAACTTTTTAAAAAACCCTACAAGCACTAAAATGGGTTCTTGGACAAGTGTTTATAATTCTACAGGAATTAAATTTTATTTAGATTAATAACTGATTAACGCCCTCAAGATATAAATAGACGAATTAACCATTCTAATATTTAAGATAACAGTTTAGAGGTTGTTAAATTTAAATATTTTGACCATCGGCTAATAGATGGCGTTGGCGAAAAAATAAATGTTTCTTAATAATAATATAGGTTTATAAACTGAATTGTTTGAATTTGTACGTAATAAACAAAATGAAATAAATAAATTATTATTGTTAAAAGTAGAGTCTAGCATTAGCGTTGGAAAATAATTTTAGATGTACTAATATTCAAATTAAGAAGTTGGTAACAATCAACGGAAAAGGAAATGGTGTTAAAATGAAGAGAGAAAAACTATTGATTTGGTTAATTATTTTTTGAAGTAATGTGCTGAAAAATGAAAATGGAAAAAGAGACAGAATAAAAATAAGATAAGTATAACTAATAATTTCATAGGGAAATTTTAAAGTAAAAGGGGGGGGGGGGGTAATTTAATGGAAACGTAGATTTTTAAAAAAGAACTGAGAACGTGGGTGTGAATTCGGAAAAAACTTGTGAGTTTAGTGATAATGCATTGTTACTTTTTCTTAATCTAAATATTTCTAGGTTCTCCAAATTATTCAATATCAACTTGTTGTGGCAAATATGGAGTACCCTAAAGCCATCCCCTGAGTCAAAATCGTGATTGGACTCTACTAGATGGGTGGCAAAATGTGAGAAGCCGGTTGTGGCAGTATTCAAACATCTTAAATGTTCTTTAAGTCTAGTCCTAAAATTACGAAAGGTTCTACCTACATATTTGGCTGGGCAAGACTTACAACTGAGTTCATATATGCCTGGTTGATCCATGATGTCCACTTTATCTTTATTCTTGATGAAAAAGTTACTAATTGAGTTGGAGGATTTAAAAGAAATTTTGAAGTTATTTTTGAGGATATTGGAGACTTTATAAGAAATATTTCCAATATAGGTAAGTGACATATACTTAAATCCTTAAATACTTAAATACCGTTACAAAAAATGAATGGGACAATTTACAAGATGAAAATAAATTACCGAAATTAAAAGACCTAATAATGTCATGTCAAAACATTTTTGTAAAAGGTTAAAAAATAAAGTTATAATTATATCTAAAGGTCCTTCGAGTATTTAAATTTGTTCTTTCACGTATTCATAAGGGGAGTTGAAATTTAAAAAACTCATAAATCAAAAACAAAAAATGATAATCATCTTGAAATTTTCAGGAAAAAATCAAGCTCTATAAAGAGAAGCCCTGAATACAAATGGGGTTGATATATAAAAAATCTTAACTCAAAAACGAAAAATATCAACTTGAAATTTTTAGTAAAAATCAAGCTCTATAAGGGGACGAATACATGTTGCGCGCAAGTACAGGCACAAATGTTTAGTGAAACCATGCAGGTGATTATCCACAGGGTTGAGTCCTTTCTCCTTTACTGTGAAACCTAGTGGCAGATAAACTGCTGAAAACACTGAACAATCAAGGGCTGTACGTCCGAGGATACGCCAAAGACATAGTCATCCTTTTCCGGAGGAAACACCAAACCACAATCTTCGAACTCATGCAAAGAGCTCTAAGGCTGACATAAATGTGGTGCATTAGGGAAAACCTCTTGGTAAACCCTTACAAGGCACAACTCATAACCTTTACTCGGAAAACAAGGTTGGAGGTCTGAGAAACTCCAACTCTGTTTGGAGAAAGGCTAAACAAAACTAACCAAGTAAAATATCTGGATCTAATCCTAGATAGCAAACTTACTTGGAACCAACACTTACAAAAAGTGACCAACAAATGTAAAATGTCTAAAACCTAAAACGCAAAATACACGTTTTTACTTTTGCCAATTACTTCAGGAAACTTGTGTTAAGATTTAAAAATGTACTAACCTCAGATAAGCAAATGATACACTCCTAGGAGCTGTAAGACCTTGCTGTGGTGGAGTGGCTCAGTAGCTTCCTGTTTTCGCGCCCAACGAGACGGGCATGGGTAGTGAAGCCGACAAATAGTTCAAAATGGTCGGTGGGACATCTACCCAGCTAACAAAAGCAAACCGGCAAGTCCGACCAATGAGAGGGCGAATGGCTAACCGCAGACGCAAAAACGGTCCGAGTGGTTCTAGTGAAACCAAAGGATTCGGAGATGAAATCCAGTATCCAAGACAAATACCCTGAGTTAGTGGATATAAATGGGCAATTCGAGATCATCGAGCAACGGACCTACATTAGAACGAAGACCCCGGGGGAGGAGACTATAAAAAAGATAAATAAAATAGTGCACAACGGTACAACGGATGATGAGATGGTGGCAATTCATCACATTGTAAATTACTCCACCGACAATCTAAAAAAGATGGTAGCGGGAATCTTTCATGGATCTTGTGCCAAGGTGGACATATTTACAACCGCAGAATACCACTCGGCTTTGGAGAAAACAGAAAAAAGAAAGAGACCTACCTTTGGTATGGTTGTGAGCGGGGGGGGGGGGACGATCCTATAAGGACATCTTAGGCAAAGTTAAGAACGCAGTAGGAGATAAAGCAGCAGGAGGAGCAATTAGGAGTCTCAAGAGTACAAGAGACGGCAGTCTCCTAATAGTAATGGACAAGGACCAAAAATCCCTAAACGAGATCAAGAAGGCATTTAAGTATTCTCCTGAAGGTTTGAAAGTTAGACAAATTGGTGAAGCAGGACTTTTTAAAACACTGCATGTCAGGCGAATGGATACCGAATGCACCAAGCAGGAACTGCAACAGGCTCTAACTGAGAAACCTGGAAGAAAACACTCATAAACTAAGTGACCTACGTCCAATGGTAAGTAAACAAATGGCGGCCATCGTGACGATTCCAACGAAAGAAGCCAGTTAGCTCATCATCGACGGTTTTATAAGGGTGAGATGTAGACTTAAAAAATGATTAAGAGTTCCCAGATGTACCAGATGCTGGTCGTATGATCACAAAACGTGAGACGTGAGAATTGCTACAGATGTGATAGAGAGAGTCATAGTTCTAACTAATGTACAAGTGAGGAGGCTTGTCCGTTAATTGAAGAAACTGGACACCGAGCAGGCAATGCCCGGTATTTAAGGCTGCTCTGGAGAGTTAGGAATGCGGAAAGAAGAAAAAACAAATACCGACCCCGACGGACATATTAGGAAAGACACAGGCTGAGACCCACCACGAGCTGGCGGAAGACACACAGAAATGAGATGATTTAGAACATAAGATCAAACAAATTGAAATACATTGACAACTTACACAAATCCAAGGAAGAGGAATCGTAGAGTCAATCATCGCAAAGGCAGATGCGGCCGAGGCGATAGCCTTAGCTATATTAAATAGCGAAATAAGCTAAGACAACTAAACTTAACAAACCATAATGTCTCTAAAGATCCTTCAAATTAATATAGACCAAAGTGCAAGATCGCTAGACCTGGCAGTTGCTACGTCGGAGAAACATGACATGGATATATCGATACCTTACCGGCAGAACATCGTAAGCGACAATATTGGCTCAATTGAGATTATTGCATTATAGGGACTATCGTATATGTAAGATTGTATTAGCAAATTATCGTTCCCAAAATTAAACGTATAATATTACCAAAAACGTAAAATTTACTTATCGTAAACGACATTTATTAATCTTCACAATCATTTATATCCTACTAAAATATCGTATGGCTATTAAGAACCGGTAGAATATCGTAACGTCAAGTCATGTGGTACTGTTATTTGTCACTTACGATAGACATTTCCACTATTTTCCATTTTAGTGTTGGTGAAGTGAACAACCAGAAAGGACGTAAGTGACATTTTTTGTGATTTTCTTGATTTAGAACCAAAAATTTGCATGTTTTAGTGTTGTTTTGTTATAAGAGTATATTTGGAATTTGCTTGTAGGCTTAAAGGTTTTTATTTTGCTTCAATTACCAACATACATTACAATAAAAGGTTAATTTTGGCGACATTGGTAAATTCGGTAACTTCCCTGTCTAATTGAACGAATAATTTATAAAATTATATTAT